CTAATGTGTGTTACATGTCCAGCCCATCGAAGCCTCTTAGATTTCGCTATCCACACTATGTTAGGTCACCTGTACAATTCACACAGCTCCTTGTTATGCAATATTATAAATTATCCTCTTATTTCATCCTTCCTAGGTCCAACTATCTTCCTGAGCACCTTGTTTTCAAACACTTGTAATTCACATTCTTCCTTCAAGGTAAATGCCTGTTTTTATTCAACTCAAAAACTGTCATAACCTTATTTATTATCCAAAACACTAAAGATCAGGATATATTCAACAATAATTTTGCCTGTTGTCTTGTATGGTTGTGAAACATAATACATCTATTATTTTTATAGAAAACAGAAACAAATAACCCAACAGAAATATTGACAAAATCACTTTTCACCTTTAGTGTAATAGACTGTTAAAACACTCACGAATAAATCACATATTACTTTCCATGTCCCAAACTTTATTAAAAGATTTGTTGTTTAATGTATAACTTTAGCTTTTTGGAGATAAGCCACATCAAATGTCAATGGTTTTCCAATGTTTCATCAAACACTGCAGTTGTCCCCTTCAGGGTGAATGTCTATTACAATGTTTCAGATGCTTTATATAGACCATGCAGTAGGCAGCACATGCAATGCAAAGGATATGATTGGCAGAATAGAGGAGCAGGGATTGATCATACTGTTTAGTCCCAAACACAGGCTGAAGATAAAGAGAACCTACCAAGATAATTAATAAAAAAAATGTAAATATTGTTAAGTTCTTACCAACGTCAGACTTATCTGCATTACAAAACACTTTGAAAGACACCTTATAGAAATCTTCAGTAATTATCTGATGGGTCAATGGAAGCTGAGAAAGTAATGTTGATGTCACAATCACTTTGAAAGTTCCAAGTAACGTTTCTTCACCATAAATTACCCGGTTAATTCTGGATATGGTTCGAAACTTTTCTAAATTTTCTAACATTGGAAGGAAATTAGAGAAGGAATTGTATAAAAAGTCAACAGCATCTTTAAAACGTTCAAAACCACCAATCTCAGTTTTTCGCTCAGAAAATCTGCTCCAAAAATCTGGAGTAATCTTCTGGCGCATAATCTGCTCAATGCGACATATTACAATGTCTTCTATGCATTTATTAAGTTTCAATTCCTTAATTTCTTCCAAAACATTATCTTCTGGGCATTCTCTGGAACATTCCTGGAAAGAAACATATGCAAAACATGTTTATGTGATAAACTATCAACAAGACAAAGAACATGAGGAAGGGCAGAAGATTTGAAGATAATACAATAATGTAATAATAATGGAAATGTTGGTGCATCTAACCATAATCTGCTGAACTAAACCACTTCATTTTACATTTAATAGCTTAATACCAGTATAGTAAACTCTTACTTGATATTTATTGAGGTTATGTTAACTACACCTACATTATCTGCAAGGATAGGAAATGCCAAGCAAATCTTTTTCCACACGTCGTCTGTAGACATATTAGCATCTAACCAATATGAATTCAACATTGGCTCCAAAAATGCAAACCACAGACCCCCACGGATCCACTGAAAGTTAAGCCATCTGTAACACGGAATACAGCAATTACTTCTTCCTCACAAGGTTTAGTACAGAACAGCATTTATTTACATTCCATGGATATTTCGGAGAAGGGCCCAAGGTAATTCAACAAATTTAATACGAATACTGACACTTCGTACCACTATCCGTCACGCCTGGTAGTACGAGTACGCCGTTCATGGGATGCGGAAAAATTTGAAATGAGGTTCTACCGGTAGAGCCTCTGGCAGCAAGATATGCAAACGAGACTATAGTAGAGCTTGTGAGGTGAGCTGGTGTTATCTGTGTTTATCGACAGAATGGAGTTAAACGAGCAGTTTTATGTCAGTGCGCTTTGATATTTTGACTGTTTTTAGACTTAATGTTTATTAATGTCGGTGCATTCATTTGCTCCCTGGTTAAAAGTGCACCACGTATGTGCCTTACAATTAGACCAGCACCAATTTTATTTGTAGTTCTCACTTCAAGCTCTTGAGGGACCCTCCTCTTTCTTGCAAGGTTTCACCATTGCTGATCACCTTTACCTTATAATAAATTAAACACACAAAATATGGTAACCATATGGAAAGGCATCAGGTTTTTGTGTAATGCTAGTACACATCAACTGATAGCTAGCAGATGAATAAAAAAACTTTGAAGTATTCAGTTATAAAAATATAGCAACAGATTATACAATTTAAAAATATGTTATAACAGATTCAAACAAAATGATTAAAGTGTAAGGAAAGTAAATAAATAAATATACAAGGCCTGCTCAGAAAGTATAAAGAATGAATCTCAAAAATCGAAGATAAATGTATTTTTAAGGATGGGAGGTTACCGTTCGTTCATAGTAGTCAGTATTTACTGTACACACTTCTATCATTCCTACCAATGCTGGAGGCACCCCACAAACAAAATATACAGTTGGTCCACTGCACTGTGTTCAATTGTTTCCACATAATCAGGGTTTCTTTAAAGTTTACAGAGCAGAAAACAAATTGGGATAATATATATATGGTCAGCAAGATGGCTGTGTAATTTGACGCTATCTTCACCTAAAAGTTGCTGCACATATAAAGCTTAGTAGGCAGAAGCATGGTGAATTTACTTGCAGCCATTTATCATGCATCAGCATTTGCAAATTAAGATGTTTTCTGACTTTGTGGAGCTCACTCATGGTGCGTAACAGCCTCATAAACAAAATCAGCAGCATCAATTTGGTTTTGCTGTACACTTGGCATGCTTCTTTCAAAGTTTCTGTTTGTATGATATATGCCTAGTTTCAAAATCATAACTATAGACCAGTGTCTCATCTGTAATTATGTTTTTTGACACATTTTCATCCAGTATATTTCATTATTTTCTGCATACTTGAAAGCAATTTTCTTTCTGATCATGTGCCAAAAAAGCAATGAATTTGGATGAGACACAACTTACCTCATATCCAAACCTTACGGTTAAAATGGCCTAACATGAAATAAATTCCTCTCTCCAGCAATTTCATGTCATTTCTTACTAAACCTCATCACTTATACTGCTTAAAGTGCATCATGCAGGCTTATCACTGAAATGAAACCTTTCAAAAACTCATGCCCTGCACACACTATTGCATTTTCAAAAGTTATCTGCACCAACTGATACATTCTTTCCAATAGTTTCACAAAATTTAACACACACGTTCTTTACTCTCAGACACCATTAAATCAATACAGATTTTGAACACTAATCATGAATGACAAACAATGGAATGAAATGTAAACACACCTGCTAATGTTGTATCATGCATGAGAGATTTGAGGTTTTTGTGGCTGTGAGGATGAGGATTTTCTGTGTTTTGGTGCTGTTTAGACTTGTCAGTAGATGTGAGTCCACATGGCACCAAAACCAGAAGAACATCTTGTCAATATGTTCTTCACAGCTGTATTGCTGTATAGTGTGATTTATCCAAGACATAAATTCAGTCTTGACAGTTTTTGATCAGGCCTTGTATATATGAAAGGGTAGAGGCACCTCTTTAATGAATGTGAAGGCATCTACTGTTGAGTATAATACTGACAAGGAGCTGCATCACATCATCGTTTAACTGTCATACACAAACCATCTTATACACAACATGAACATGTCTTTGTTTCACATGACAGGAGATGAATTATATTACTTATGCAAGTTTTAGTGGAATAAAATTCTAAGAGAAACATAAGAATGGGTTTTAAAGCATAACATTCTGAAGTTGCAGCTAATGTTAAAATTCTTGCTGTTGTCTGCACTGCAGTGGGTTGGGTCATATACACATCACTGCCTACTCTCCCATGACAAAGGAGACCAATTTTCTGAACCATCACAAAATCCTGCCTATTATGTCAGAGTACATGTGGTGCAGTTGTCCTCAAAATGCCACATAATCATCCAAATTCAGTACATAGTTTGGAAACTTGATCTAGTATCCAGCACACTTATTTGCACCTACCACTTGAATATGTAAAAGTGCATTATATTAAAATCCTTTGTAATAATTATGACAAATATGACACTGAGTTAAAATAAAAATATAATGAAGTAGGCCCATTTTAACCAATGATTATCAAACAAGAACATTCCAGCAGAATGTTTCACTGCTCTCATCTAAGACATCTTTTTGTAGTAGTAAATTCTCTTCATTTAGCAAGACAGCATGCAGTGTATGAAACTGTAATTTATTTTATTCTCACTGTTCTTATTAATAATCTTAATAAATGTTACTATTCTCTTTCAAAGCTTTCCTCTTAATTTACAAAACTATCGTACTGTTCTATTTTGTCTAAAATTAGGCAAATTGTTCAGTAGCAGGTACACAAAATAGCATGAACTTGCAGAAGTCACATGAGTACAGTGAAACTTGTATCAAAGGTGGTTCTATAGAAATTTATATATACTGAAATCCTATCTTTATAAGGATCTAGACTGCCTTTCCAGCAATATTCTGAGGAAACAGATTTTGTGGCATATGGCAAGTAACTAAAATTGCACTTGTCCAGTTCAGTGATTCTGACTGTCTAGGCTGTCTAAAAACATTTAGTAAAAACAGATATTGACACATTTATCGTAATAACTATTAACATTAATGGCATCAGATCCTGATTAAATAATATGAACCAATTTCAGTATGTGACTTATAGAAATTATAGTGCACTAATTGCAAAAGTCTTCCTTACTAATTATCTGAGAAAATAAATAACACCACACATATTTCTAAAAAAATTGCACAGTGTTTAGGCTGTCATGGTAATGGTTTTAAAAGTCTTACAGTTACAATTAGGAATATCACATTCATAGCAATATGAAGATGTAACAGACCTTCAACATAGAAACATGGCGAGCAAAAAATGTTGTGCTGTGCTACATCTATCTGCCACTGATCGTGGCAAAACACATCTAAACTCACTATCATGAATTGCTCTATTTTTCATTTAGAATAGTTTCCCTTAAAATACAAAATCATAAAAAATAAATTATAACAAAACATGACATAAGGATGGAATGGCTTTTACAAGTAGTTTAAAATGTTCATATTAACAAGTGATGGCTGATAGTTGGACACAACACATTCCACCAGGCTGCTACACAGTTACTTGCACCACTTGTTAAGAAACTGTGTTCACACACAGACATAGTAAATTGTACGCTCTACTGGTGAAATCTCAGCCTGAAGAAATGCGTGACTAACCACTTGCATTTCCCCACAAACTCAAGTATGAACTGCCTCTACTGTAGATGTGTTACCTGAGGAGAAACTAATACAGTTATTGCAAATACTGTATTTATACAATCCAGACTTGAAGGAATGTCAATTTTCACAACCCACACAAGAGCATTCCAATTTGAAGTTGTCTGTTAAATATGGTGATGACAACATGATGGTAACATTTCAGAAACTCTAATTATACCTACATAAAAATCCAAATTTCACCTGCACTTTGGATTTACTTTTCTAAAATGTATTTCTATTTAAAGCATAAGTAATTACATATTTTCCACAGAAGTAATCTAATCTTTTTTGTTCCTCACACAGAACTTTTTAAGAAACTTTAACATCAGATTATCTTCCACAGACTTTGTTAATCACCAATTGTGAATGGAATTGCTCATGCCTTAATAAATCCCTGATAGCCACATGACAAATTCCATTGATAAAAAAGGAGGGACTTTTTGGTTTCAGCTTTTACGACGTACTGTTTATTTAATTAGTGTCCAGTTCCTCACACTTCTCATTGCTCAGAAATATAAATAAATAACTGGACACTAGTCAAATTCTTAACTAAAAAAAAGCCTCTAAAATGGGCACATTAATCATTTCATGTTGTGTTTTAAAAATATTGGTACATGAATTAATAATTAGGCTTCTTAACAGGATCCTGGAATGTGATGAATTCAATTTACCATCTACACAACCATTTACTGTATCATACTGCACTACATGTTTCGACCTCTTCCAGCCTTCTTCAATTGCATATCATAAACATCAGATGGTACCACAGACAGGAAATCACTTTATGGATCCATGCATTGGTTTGCAGTTGATTACTGTGATTTCCTATCCATCATACCATTTAATATTTAAGATATGCACAAGAAGATGGCAAAAAGAGGTCAGAACATGTAGTGCAGTATCATATAATGAAAGGTTGTGCAGACAGTAATACTATTTACAACCATGTTCTTCAAATTCTTAACTGGATGCCTAATGATAGTAAGTTTCCTTAAATGTAATCAAAATGATGACCACTACAAATGTTATCCAGATGTCTATGTTCATCATACCACTGTTTCCAGTTTAGGTGATTTTCCAAGTTGAGACGCAATAGTCATTTCACTGATATCATCTGATTCAGAATCTGAACTGTTAGCTGAAGTTTTTCCAGGTTTCTGAAATAAGAAAAAGAAGATACAAATAAAAGCATGCGTGCGCACACGTGTGTGCATGTGTACACCTCTGCCTCTGCATTCATGTGTGCAACCAAGCAACATATCATGCCATCATAAACAGCAAATTTCACATTTTTATTGTCACTGTATTATGGTAACATGGTTTAAGAATGTGCCTCAGGTTCATCTTAATAATGGTAGGATAGTCTTAAGACAACTGTAATAGTAACAGGATTATTTTAAGTCAACTGAATTAAACAGAATGCTACCCAGGCAAACTTCTGACTCTGAGTGTCCCATTTACTAAATTTAATTAATATCTGATTGCTGACCACATGAAGAAGGTACCAGTTAAATAATCAGGCGAAGCTAAAACAACTAACTTTCTGGGCATTATCTATCATCTTGATTTTTTGTTAAATAAACAACATTTTGAAGACTGGAATTTTTATCCGTCATCGGGTAAAACCTATTCCGTTGGGCCCAATTGATAGAGCTAGTCCCTATCCCTGGAAATTTTGTTAAAAAAATCAAGGTGATGTAAAATGTCCAGAAAGTTTGTTGTTTTAGCAATACACCATCATCACAAACCTTTAGATTTTGTTTATTCAAGTAAAGTGTTTGGTTATTACTTATTTAGTTTGAGTGACATGTCATGGAAATTAAACATGATATACAAGTTGGAAAAATGTAAATTGTTATAATATAAGTACACTTACAAATTAATATTCTCCATTACACTTCTAACCGAAGGCACTCAGTTGTACAAAAACCATTCTCTTTACATACCTCCTTGGTATCACAATGGGGCCTCTTTTTTGCTGCTGATCCTAGCCTCTGCACAATTTGAGGTAGATCAGGGTTGCTCTCCAGAGTAGAGCACTGACTAGATGGGGGATGACTGTAGTCTGGAGTATTCTCTTCATCAGACCCAGCAACATCAGCTGTAACAACTGTGGATTTCTTCAGCCTACGTGACCTACATCGTGGAGCAACAGGCCGCCGAGCAAAGCTGTAAATCATTACACATTAGTTTCTGATACATGCAAAGTGAAAAGATCTGAACTAGAGACTTTTCTATCTGTGCTGTAAACAATGCATTAAGTTTCCCAAAATATAATAGCCATTAACAAAACGTTCTCAGAAGAAACTGATGCCTGCAATCTTAAACGTTTTCAATCTATATGATGAGACAATGATGAAGAATAAATTAATAATTATATTATGATCCATTTCTATGAGTAATCTAAACCAGTACACAGTTTATGTTAAATCTGTCAGTCAGTAACAGATATGTACTTTGTTTTAATACAAAACAAGAAATACTGTATATGATATGATACCACTGGTCACTGACACAAGGGAACAGTGAAGAAACACCTAAGCACATACTTGGGTTTGATACCACAACAGAATTGCACAGACAGCTGTATTTGGAACTAGACAGATTTTAACAAATACACTGCAGTCTTAAGTTTGAAACCTGCATAAGAATCTAATAACAATAAGCACAACCAAAACATAGATAACTGCATGTAAATGTATGATTAATAGTTTTATATATGATAAATCAGATTCATTTTCTAATGTACTGATGGTCTTACATGAAATTTATGCAATCACAATACACACCTCCCTCGGTGAAGTTCATAGCTGCCTGCTGAATACTCTCCTTCTTCCTCTTCTGACCAACTTTCACACATATCATCCCTTGAGTCTTGAGAGTCTATTGTTTCAGAACTGTCTCCCTGTCTCAGCCTAAGTTTTGCAACAGGGTGTACTGAATCTACAGAAACAATAACACCTTGATACTGGGCTGATAACTCTCGGCCACTTCTACCAGCTGCCACAATTCTCCTGGCTAGTTCTTCTTCACTGCAAAATCCATCCTTATGACTTAACCCTGATAGCATTGAAATAACATCATCAGGGTTCCCATTGTTGGCAGTGGTTTCGACAGCAGGTGGTGCAGATGCTCTGTTTCCATTCAAAATTTCATTCACTTTCCTTCCAAGACTTTCCAAATTTTCATCATCACTTTCACGAATAGACAGTCTTAAATTGCAATTTGGTTCAGAATCATCCGAGTGATCAGGATGTGGTTGCAGTTTGTCATCACAATTTATGCTATTTCCATTTAAGCTCTCTGTCCCTGGAGATTTATCTATCACTTTGTGCTCTTCTACCTCTTTGACTGTGCCTGCCTGAGATACGGTCACACTAAACTGACGGCCAGCAAAGTGGGGGTTAGGACTGGTGTCAGTTTCACTGATGTCCATCATTTCAGTCTGTGTCTCACCATCCACCAAATACTGTAGTTTGGAACTGGCATCAGTCTGTAAAACAAAACAAAAAGAACAAGTAAGTACTCACTGTAATAAATTATTAATTCCTTAAGTTACAGATCATGTTATACCTAGAACTCAAGGTCTGAAAATGCAGTAGCCTGCATTCAGTTTGTACTTTGAGGGACACCAGTTTTTAGTATGTGACTTGCCTTAGCACTGTCAACCTGTGCCGTTACAAAAACTGAAGCTTAAAAGAATAAACACTTTTTAACACGCTTCACTAAATTCTACATTTACATAAAATATCAGTGTAGAGGATATTCAGAGTAGCAGAAAATAAGTAGAAAATAAAATAGTGTGACGCAAGAGCATAACTCAGGAGTAATCAATCTCACAAACATGGAAGTTACCTTAAAATAATAATAAAAAACCAATAACAACATACAAACACAAATCTTTACAGTCCACGACTGTAATCTATAGAGACTTGCGGGGTGAAGGAGGAAGGAGGAAAGATAGCGTCTGCCTTTAACGCTACGGAATTACTGCATTCCTTGCAAGTCTCAAGATTACAGTTGTGGACTGTACTTTCTTAGTGTTGATACATTATAATCCTTTAAACTGCATTATTCAATATTCATATTCCTGATTTCACCCCACCTTTTTATTTTGGCTGGCACCAGATTTTGTGAAGCTGCTTTGTGTCCTACATCTGTGTTGTTTCAAAAGATGTTCACAAGGTGCACCTCCAGTAGTAGTGATTAGGCTCTCAGGCTGCTGTGATACACTGTTAAGTACTAAGGCTGCCATGATGGGATTCTATTAAACATAATAGAAATAATGTAATCATGCCCATATCCATGCCTCAAACACAAATCTTTGACTACATAAACATTGTACTGTCACCACAATACCTGATAATAAGCCATTATCTTAACTGTACCATGAATTACAAATACGATAACAGGAAGTAAACATTGCTATTGGATACCTAATTCTACATTCCTAGATCAATTCAAAGTAATCTCTACTGCCACAAACTTGTGTTTTTTTCACCTCATTCACTTGACAGTACCTATACCTGAAATGTCCTCACAATCTTGTGTGCACGACACATTTAGCAGAATTCAAATACAATATCAAATTCTGAACCTAACACCATGTCAATGTCCAGAATTTCTGAAAGGTAAGCAATCATTCTACATGTGTATTTGCAACTAATGAATGCTTGCATCTGTATGGTGTATACACTAGACCTGTAAATTAAAGTAATAATGCAATCTGGTAATCTAGTTCTCTGCAACATTTCAGTCAGTAAGATTTTGAATTTGTAAAATTTGCCCATTACATCAGCATCATGTTTGTATTAGTTAATACACAAAATATGTTTCATACCGAATTCATAGAAATGCTGATAACCTATAACAAAATAAAATTTCATATGTTCCACTGGCTACTAGTTATTGCTATAAAATCAAAAGTAAAATACGGATGTTGCATGTCACTACACTGCTGTTCACATTCAACATAACCTAACCTCAACAAAAGTTAACATATTTTCTGATATATACTGATCAAAAGAAAGTTTTTTGGGAGAAAAATGTGCTGTAAAGGACTCCTTAAGCATGCTTTCTTTCAGAAGGGGATCATTGAAGGTTATGAACTGAAATTTAAATGAGTAGATTCAGGAAGACAAGGTTTTACTATGATATTAAAGTGATGACCTGTCAATGCATAACTTTCACTAACCCCATGGGCCCAGTTATGTGGTGACTCTGGACTAGTCTGCATCTCAGGTGAGGTAGGAGTGGAATGATTGCTGGAAGAGTGGCGCTTGCACAGCTGCTTCTGTGCTTTCAGCAACGAGTGCTTGATTCCAACTTTCTTCTCTCGTCTAACAACAGCAGAAACTCATATGTTAACAAAGTAATACTTTTCCGTAACTACAGAACATAAATGCCAGTTAATTTACAAGGTCACATGCAATACATGTCAATGCTGGTTTAATGCAAATGATCGATACTATAAACAAACTACTCCACAGCAGAAATTAAAATCCACAGACTGTCTAAATGAAGCAAAATTCGGATTAGTATATTTAATAGAAATAAAATGCAGCTGACTGCTTGGTATCAAAACCAACAGAAAGGTGATTAAAGGGAATGGACCAAAGGCCCGGCATATGGTTGCTGACAAGTGTAGCATTAAAAAATATGTCAATACAAATATTTTGGAAATGTAAAGTTCTGCATATGGTATAATTGTATAATTACATAAGTGTGTTGATATTCTGAACATAACGTTATCTTAATTTGATTAAAAAGACAGTATAAGTCAAATAAAAAACCATGTCGCTAATATAGACAAGCTTACTTGAGTAATGCCTGCTCCCACTTCTCTACCTGGCGCAGCTTCACTCTCAGCACCTGTTCTCGCTGTTCTACTTGCAATAACTTCACCATCAGCTCCTGTTTCTGCTGGTCTACCTGCAGTAATCGGGTAATCATCTCCATATACATGTCATTGACACGATCTAACTTGCGCTCATAGTGCTCCCTGATATCCTGAGCATGCTTCAATTCATCATTTCTCTTCTTTATTATATCCTCTTCATATTTTGGAAGATGGGTTCCATTTGACTGCATCTGCTGCATATGCAATCTTATTTCCTGCTTCCATGTTGCCTGTAAAAAGACACACTTATGTTTCACATGTTATCATTTATTATGACCAGTTAAAATGCATTATCTTGAGAGAACCTTCAAGCACAAAGATATGTTTGAGTTGGGTAAACAATTTACATACATGCTACTCCTTAAAAATATCATCAGATCATCATCATTAGTATTCCCATAGAGTAAATATGTGTATCACTTCACACTCACATTAATCATCTTATTTTTTTATTTCTTTATTCTATGGTTTACTGTATACCAATATCAACACCTTGCAATTTTTGCTCTCCCTAGCAGCATAGCAGAGAACTTCCTTAGCAGGAGGTGCATCACCACATGTATATAATATGTGACACAGTTGTGTTCCAGACTGCTCGTCTGCAGTTGTAAAATTAAATATAATGTTGGGAAAAGCATATTTCTAAAAATAACTTTGTCGTGGAGGAATTATTCAATTCTTACACCGCAATGTAAAAAAATATGGTGGAAAAGTTTCGCACAAAAGAAAGGACAACAAGTAAATATGGAAATAAAATGTTTTGACCAGACTAAAACTGCATGATACAAAATACTGTTGCTCCACTTTGCTCTTTAATATGGCATGTCAAAAGTTTACCTTATGAAAGAGCAAAACTGGTATTACATGTAAAAACAGTCTTACAAAATACCCCTAGATTGTGAAGCAAGAAGGCAGTAAGTACTGCAGGTAATTTAATGAATTGGTAATCAATTAATTTCTTAATCCATGCCCTGTGGCTCAGGTTTATAATTTATGATCAGGTATGATTTATTTAAAGTAACTACACAGCAATCAAAAGTTTAAACATTTGCTAATGACTGCAGGAAATCCCACAAAATCAGGAAAACCTTGAAGCATGTTCAAAAATACTGTTGCTAAATGCAAGATTAGCTTAGATCAGGAAGTTTGGTACTTTGGTTAACTACATACTGTCCTGAATATACATAAATAGGAGTGTGAAGTAGGACTGTGCTATCTTGCTACTACAATATGGGTACCTGTGTTCTCAGATAGTCTTCAGGTGACCTGTTAAGAACTTCTACAGATGCAATGTCCAAGTGGATAAGGATGTTCTTGAATGAAGGCCTATTTCGAGGTTTAGCGTTCCAACACTGTTTTACCAGCAGGCGGAAACCTTCTGGACATGTTGAGGGGATTGGAAGATGCAATGAATAACTCCCTACTCCATACATAATGGCTGAAGAGCCTACATCTTTGTATGGTGTTTCACAGGTCAAGAGTTCCCACAACACCACACCATAAGACCTGAACAACAAATCACAAATGTAGTTTCTGTGATAATAATTAAATTACTAAAATACAAGTTTTGAAAGGTAAAGAATCAATAAAAGCAAAGACAGAGATGAACAGTCATATTAAAGAAGTAAGAAATTGTAACTATTCAAACTGATAAACAGGTAATGACAGAAGTCAGCACATACATACGAACATATATTTTATCTACTGAATGCTGGACATTTAATCACTAACAGTATAAGTAAACTAAAGCAGCACAGATGTGCTCTTTGTGACCAGTGGCATGCTATTATTGCACACTGCATAGAAAATGAAGTTAAGAGATAAGATAGGAGCTTAATGTATTTGACTAAAGAAATAAAGGAAAATCAACAAAAATACTTTCAACATGTATTCAGAATGTTTAAAGATCATATATTCAGGAAGTTGCTGCATAATAAGCCATATGGAAGAAAAAGGCCATCCCTTCAACAGATGGAAGCATCAGTTGATATATAAATGGGACTGGATAAAGCCAAAAGGTCTAACATTGCCACTGACGCCAGTGACAATAAATAGCTATATAATTCAACTCAGTTCTTACCATATGTCCACTTTCTCTGAGTATGGTTCACTACGTATAATTTCAGGAGCCATCCAAGCTACAGTTCCAGCAAAGGTCATTTTGGTACTAATTTCATTCCATTCTCGACTTGTACCAAAATCACTTATTTTCACTACCTCCCCATGACCAATTAAAACACTGCAAAAAATCATACATCCATCAACATTAAAATGTATAACATTTGTACTGAACACTGATGTTACAATAGCTTGGTCATAAAAGTGATAAGCCAGAACTGATGCAGAATTGGTCCTTGGAAGATATGTTGAGGATTTGAAGATGGCTGTCTTCTGGGCTGTTGCGCTGTGTAGTCTGGTAGAAGTTTACCGATGTTTAAGACATGCCCCCGCACTCCTATTGGTTCACATGTCCTCACCTTATTCTGACACCAGTCCCCACTGGTTAGGATTTGGCTATTCCTTAATAGTCCAGTTCCTATAACTCCAGCATTTTCCACTCACGTGGCATACTCACTGCCCTGATGATGGAGCCAGCAAGGACATTACTCAGAGGCATATATAAACTCTGTAGATCTCATTAAACATTTTTGAAACCTAACATATGTAGATCATATGTATATAATTTGATATGAAAGACAATGTTTTGTGCATTTTTAAAGCAATTATCAATTCTAAGAGTTTTATATAATTTAATCTGAATACCAAACATTAATTTAAATACTTTGAGTACAAAATATTCAGTACCATTCACAGGATTCTTCCCAAAAAACCCAAAACTGTAACTAGAAGGCGGGAATTTGCTTTTAATATGAGCATATCATTGTAGAGTTTTTCTTACTTTGGACTCTTGAGATCACGATGAATAATCTTGTGATTGTGTAGATAGTGCATTCCAGAAGCTATCTGTTTTGCCCAATTGACAAGTCGCAATGGTGGAACTTCTTCTCCATCTTTGAGTAGATTATACAGTGGGCCATATGGACAAAACTCCATAATGATGCAGTAGCAAGGAGCTTGTGTGCACACACCCCTGGAAGTGACACCATGATCATCATCATCCTTTTTATGTTCTGGCCTCCATAAAAAGAAGTGCACATTCTTCATATTAATACATCCTTATTAAGATTTTCTGATTACCTAGCAAAATAATACTATAATATGAATGTTTATTAGCTCCATCTTTATACAACAAACAAGTTATGTGTTGTGTAACGACAGAACTAATAAACACTTAAAGTCCACTTCACAACATGATGCTCCTGCATAATCTTAATACTACAGCACTTCGAATATGGGCTATTGCTCATGTGATTACCTCTAAGATTATTTACTGTAACTTCATAACTTAACAACTTCTTATTGAATAAGGGCTGTTTGTAATTTTTTTTTCAAGGTATATTAAAATTCCTCAACATAATACAAATTAAAAAAAACCAATAATTCCAAATATTAAAGTGGTATAACAGAATTTCATAAACTGCTTCACAAGAACTACAGGCACAAGTGACTGTACATGAACTAAAACATAAATTTTTAAAACTGCCTCTTGAGGATCTTGAATATAAGCTGATAGGAAGTCAACTCACCTGAAGAACAATATGCTGATTAAATTACAGAGAAAACCAAGCAAAGGAAGTGGTGACAGACTGCGAACACAGCATGTATAATGTACATATATCATCAGTTACAAGCTTTGCATCATATCTAGTATACAGAGTGAGTCAGAAGTATGTTTACAAACTTCATGTGCGTGTTCCAGGATCAAAAATAAGAAAAAATGTTCCCATGAACATGGAGTCGCAAATGTTTCATTTTCGAAATAATAGCCCAAAATAAGTTATAATGTATGCCTTTATTGCCAAGTATAAGGACAGGGATGATTCTTTGTAATAGATGCTCAAAGGTTGCTCCTCCATTCTCCACACATGCACGAGCACGACGTACACAGGACTGACGAATTCGTTCGTACACACCACGGTTTCCTTGAATTATCTGGCATGCAATTTGCACACGTTCCCATAGGTCGTCTTCATTGTTTACGGGTGTTGCATAAACGACGGACTTCAAATGACCCCACAGATAAAAGTCCAGTGGATTCAGGTGCGGTGACCTCGGTGGCCATGCTACTGGGCCACGACACCCAATCCATCGCTGAGGGTAATGTTCATTGAGATGATATCTGACACGATGGGAGAAGTGTGCTGGTGTTCTGTTGTGCATAAACCACATTTGTCTTCTTGAATTCAGTGGTACATCTACAAGGAGACATGGCAAGCGTCTTCTTAAGAATCACCGATATGAAGGTCCTCTTAGATGCGATGGAAGCATGTGTGGACCAATAAGCATGTCGCCAACAATTCCTGCCCAAACGTTTATTGAAAATTTGTAATATAAAGTCAATTCATTGAAACTTATTTTTGGCTATTTTTTAGATAATGAAACATTTGCGACCCCATGTTCATAGCAACATTTTTCTTATTTTTGATCCTGGAACACATACACGAAGTTTGTAAACATACTTCTGACTCACTCTGTATAACACAAATTTTGTCTTGTGTCATGTTAAGTACCTCAACAAGTTTCATATTTGATTTCATGTACAGCCACCAAGAAGGATTAGGCAGAACTGGAAACAGACTTGGCATGTGATTCAGCTCAGACTATTTTTTTCTAAATTTGTGTACCTGCTTATGTTTATAAAAGGACCTTGTGATACAGACTTCCTAGATCAGGTTACAGTATAGTGTTATTTTACTCACTTGAACTGCACAATGTTGGGATGATTTAGTTTCCTGAGATTCCGAATGTCTGTTTCCTTTTGCTCCCTAACTTTCTTCACAGCAACCACTTCTCCTCTGAGCTTACCGCTGAAGACAGCACCTTGAGCACCAGAGCCCAGCCACTTCAGATCACTGATTGACTCAAATGGTATTTCCCAGTCATCTGCACATTTTAAAATTAACTGGTTAATACAATACTTCAGTATTTATGGAGTAATAATAATTATTCTGGTTGGCCATATAAAAATACAGTTTTGCAGTGAGGATCCACTAACTTTGTCAGGTTTCATCACAGAAGAAAGCCAAACAGAATTATAGGATAATTTAGAAAATATATGTAAAATTTGTCAGATATAACCTCAAAGTTTCACACAATTGCCATGGTTGCAATTGTTGCAATTAATTGTTGAAATTACAAAAATGTATACATATTCAGTAATCAGTTAACACTTACTCAATAAGTGTCATCTCCTGGTACATACTTATCTAATCCATCCCAGTAGTCTTAAAAACAAGGCATCTTCTAGCACATCACAAAGTTGATTTAAAATTCATGGTTCACAGCCATGTTTCATTGAATGTGTGTGGACTGATTATACGTGTACATTCTATTTACATTACATTTTGGAAATATTGCTTTAAGTAGGTTTGTTTACATTTCCAGGACTGGTAATCCTTAAATCACCTTGGTGTCCTTTGATTTCATTTGCAGTTGCCTTGCCAATGATGGTCCAGACTGGACGGAGACAGCCCCAGAGACCATCAATCCAGCCAGTGTGCTGAGCTGCTGAATGGTCTTGATAGCCAACACTGACACCAGGACTACAGGGAGATTGCTTGCTTGAGTCGTCATGACTGGTCTCATCAGAACGTTCTTCTGGAGGAGGCTCTTCCTTGGGTGATGACGACTGCAGACTCAATTGCCCCAATTCCTCTTTGATGCACAATATACTGCAAACCATTCAGAAGAATGTGAATTTGTTCAATATGTAATCTGTCAATGGTTCTCAACTGTTCCTGTTTCACAGACAGAAAAAAAAACAATGAAGATGACAACTTCTGCGATATTGCACTGTGTAATCTTCTGGAAGTTGACCAACGTTTCTGAGATGCCTACTGCTACCATCATTCTCTACAGATATTGTTTCACATTCTACAAAGAATGGCCAAAATAAATTGTTTCTCTCTGTAAAATCAATTAACACACAGATTAACATATATCTAAGCTAATATGACAACGGCGCTTATGTCGCCCAACCTCAAAAATGCGCGCGCCCACCATGTTTGTATGTGAATTGGAACGTACAAAGGCAAGATCACCTCTACACGGCATGACATATATACCAAATTTCGTGCAAATCCGTCAATGGCCCAGAATTTACTGGGGATCTGAAAAGGCATTGGCATGACGTACTGTGCCTAAAACTTTCCTTATAAATAAGTAAAATTGGCGAAAAGTTAAAAATCGTGAAATGACGGGCAGACGATACGCAGGCAATACCAACAAATTACTATGTCAAGAATTCGTTATGCAGTTACTGCAAATAATCAATTACAAATAGCTTTGTGTCAATAACATACATGACCCCTATGTAAAAGACTAATGCCAATACATAATGCAATTAGTAACAAAGTTGTCGGTCGCATTGCTTGGAGCCTACAGTGCAATGAGCGAGGCAGCATCCGTCCACGATAATGTCAAGGCCTACCTTACAATGCAAAAATAAAGTTGTAGTAACATTTTTGGGATTACATAAAACACGCTGATACAGTTAAACGTTGTTTTCACTTGTGTTCGTTACATGTTTCAGTAAATATAACTTACGAAATTTTCATGATGCTTTTCCTTGGACACTAGTTAATAAGTTCTGTCACGCATCTAAGATGCTCAAAAAATCACTGAATTTCAGCCTACAGTGCCTTTAGTTTGATCACTGATGAGTTTAAATTACAATGAACCACAAATTCTGAAGCACTTTCGTCCCACCTGTCACTACACGCATTATCTGTACAGCACGTGATGACACTGTGACGTCATATTTGTTATCACTCCAAATACGTCACACATTCCAAACAACATGCTTCTCAAGTAATCATTTTGTATGGACACAAAAGTCTACATGACTTCTCGAAATATTTTAATTCTGCATCTTTACATTCGTTTCGGTCTACTGTTGCCTACTTTAAGGACAGAATGCAGCAGGTCCAAATCATGTTCAGTATTAAACACGTCATAACTAACAGCAAAAATACGTTACGATCTTCCTGTAATATAAATTGGAACCCTCGGAAAAACTACCGTAAACAAGGCACCGAGAGGGCTTTGCTGTTCCGTAGACTCCAACCAAATCCCATATATATAATTTTAATTTCACGTGTTCTTTCAACAGTCATAGTTGCAGACATGACTTAAAAACTTTACAAAATTCAAGCGACCGTACCCTTCCAGCCTATCCGTTCTCACTACCCACAATTATAGTTCCAGATCAAAGAAAGGAGCTCTGCGGATGAAAAGAAAACCCTCAAGGCCTGTCGTCTCGTCGCCATCCGTATTACGCGACGGCCATCATCAGGATACACTGCGGGTATGTGTAAAAATGTTCGCTTTTTACCAACTTACAGCAAACTTGGTACGCTTATGCCTTGATACCAGGAAATAAGAGAGCTCAGAACTTCGCAAGTGTCCTGAGATCGAGGTCCGGTGAGGGTGGTTTCTGAAATTCGGAAACTAAGCACAATATAAGTACGATGCCGTGATTAAACTTGTTTCTTTCAAAGAGGAGATTACAGGGCAAAGATCATAATCCCGAGAACCTGTCCTGGTTTGGAATATCTGTGAAGATGGTTTCTGCAGAAAGGCTACTAAGCATGGTAGAATAACGGAAACAATAACAAATTGTCTATTTCTGCGGGAGATTACAGAAGTAAAGGCTACAAACTCGAAAACTATGCTGGGTTCGAATCCCGGTGAAGATGCTAGGTTTAGGAATAGCACATTTTTGATGTGGTATTCAACGATACTTACCGAATAATCCGAACTATGATAAGCAATCGACTAATACAAATTTATATTAAATGTAAGCATTTGTAGGATTTCGCCGTAGTAACACTGCGGGCACTCTGCTAGAAGTCACTAAAACACTCATCACCCCCTGATGATGAAGGCAGTAAGCACCTCTAAAACGGTCTTCGCCTAGATCTTTGTAGGCTTACAATGAGTTATTCTATTAATCCTTTAAATTATCATTAAAATAGGCTAAGAATAAAATGAAATTCCAAAGTACATCACAAAGTAGAAGCAAATGGCTTCTCGCCATTGTCATTTCTTAAATCGTATATATGTTCTGAACAAGTAATAAAATTTGTTAATCCTCACCGCAATCTATCAATCTACCTCTGAAGTCAAATTCTGGATCGGATTCGGTAAAGAGTGTATATATGGATACTTGTACGCACTTTGTTGTAACACACTCTCACTGACACGTATCATTTTGTGAAACACACGCTATACGTTATGCAGGCATTTATATAGAAGTTGCCTACCTGCTCGTGAAATCTTGTGGAGGCGGTGGGAACCCTTTAGAGTTGCTCGCATTCTTGCTACTGACCAAAATGCTACGGAAAATCATTATATGAATTTCCCGATCGCGATTTCTGGTAGATTTGAACGAAAAAATACGACAGCAGGTATTTCCCATACATGGACGTGCACACAAACACTGGCAGACGAAACGTCTTCAGTCAGCCAACTGCACTGTTTTCCCACTTCCCCTTAACAAGGTTCCATTCATTATTCAAATTATTTACTCAAAGAACGTTAGTTCCGAAGTTACCCGTTCCTCCTATCACGTTATCAGTTGCGCTATCGTCTATCGGCAGGGGTCGACAAACTATCGATAAACAACATTCAAAAACTAAAACTGCGTTTAATTAACCTTTGAAGTACCGCTAACAATTCTCGTGGTCATAAAACTTGTCAGCCAATCCACTGCATACGTAGCGCCCCCCATATGACACCACATAAGAGATACAAAGGGGGGGGGGGGGGGGGGGGGTTCTGGAGACAACAACTCAACAGATTCACGTATGCAAAATCACAATCTTGCAGAAATGCTAACGACGACCAAAACTGGAACGGTGACAGGTGGGAAAAGGCGTCCTACCTAACCTTATATGGATGTAAAAAAAGTTAACAGTAGCTAGAAACTGTTCAAATATTTACACGAACGATGTCGCGGACTGGACACAATTCTTCTACCGTTTGTCCTTTGCACACTCCTGGTTTCCTAGTTCTTGTACGCCATTGATTAAAACATCGCATACCCAGACAGTGGCATTCCTACAGTAAAAATTCTTCCGCTGATAGCCGTTTACTCACTCCTGGTTTGCCAGCTGTTATACACCAGCATTTTTATCTGGATAATCCAAGTTCTTTGTTTTGTTCCACACTCGTCGGTCGGACGTCAGCATCCTGAGGCACGTCAGTGGCACGATACTGGCCCAAAGTTTGAAGCGACGAATAAGAAGACGATTATTTCGAGGGGATGTCAAACGTCTTTCACAATCAGAAGAAGGTATTAAACATTTCCTGCAGGTATGTTATTGCAGCAAGTTATGGAATAATGAGTATAAAAATTTCATCCTTCTGAGATACTGTGCAGTATAGTTTTGCATAAGTCTGGCCGACGTTTCAGATGTTCTTGCTGTCTCCATAATCAGGATATCGCCCTCTAAAATATCGGTCAACTTCTATGAGACTACACAGCGCAATATTCCAGAAGGCTGTAATCTTCAAGTTATGGAAAATATTCCGAAGTTCTTGTACTCGCATTTGGGCTTATCCCGGTAACAAAATAACACAGGTATCGGAACGACACCGAAATTCGGTGAAGAAGTGGACTTTGCAGAGTACCTCAGAAAAGAGGGAAAACATAACCATAAAATACACTTCTTGGTGACCATTTTAAAGCTGAAATGCGGACGCTGGAGTTCCCTGTTGCCCTATGTTAGTTCAGTTTGTAGGCTGCCTTTACACTACAATTATTTTGTATAGAAGCACGTGGAAAAGAAATCAAAATGTTATGAAAAATATTTCGAGGATGGGCCCACGCACCTATTTCGTCCTCAGGTTTGGTCCTCAAAGCAGTTCAGGCATGTCCGCTTGCCAGTCTTTGTCATTTTGAGAAACCGAGGGCAAAGTCTACTTTTGTAATGCAAATGACGGCAAAGCAGTTCATTCATCAACAGACCCAACAAAATGGTAAACATTCGGATCCAATTAACTACATATATATTGTTATTTTGTGCCAATAACTGTTAATTTATAGGATACGTATAACCATTTTGCGGTCTGGGCTAAAATTCCACAAAACAGCTGTACGTACTATTTGCAAAGAGATTTTAACTTCAGCCAAACAACAAAATATCTGTAGCTTAGATCAGCGGTATTCAACCTTTTTTGTTCGAGTACCCCCAGATATAATTTCTCTTCAACTTTGTACCCCCAAAGTTGTTGGTGTATAATTCAAGTTATACATAGTATATAATCTACACCTAAAATAATTAAATAAATTACTGATTATTCAGTGTTTATTATAAAATAATATATTTTTTTTAAATTTCACGTACCCCAGGTTGAATACCACTAGCTTAGATTATGCATAATAAATCAGACATGATTAACTTCTTACGAGAAATCATGTTTAGAATGTACGATCTGAAGCTTTCACGGCGGCTAATAATAATGAATTATCCTCGGCTGAGAGCCCTGATGACGAGGGCGAAGATGGCTCTCGAAACGTTGGTGTTTTCTTCATTAAACCACCTGACACGGCTGGTGGCCCGAGAAGAATTCATTATACATTTTTAGGATGTATGGATAAATCACAGTATATCTTCTGGGATATTCCGCCGTGTAGTCTGATAGAAGTTTACAGACATTTCACAGGTGCTTGATGCCTCCATCATCAGTGCGGATTACTCTGGACTCAACATCTACTTAATGGCATACACGAATTCGCGTAAGAACATAGATGTCTGCAAAATAATGTATTAACTGTTACCGCTCTACTACATAACCTCTTTCAGAAGTATTATAACCTTCAGCGTACCTCTATTACATATTAAGGAATGTTCACAAAAGTCAATTTACAAAAAATCTTAAAAGTATCATTAATTTCAAGTGTTGTATAGGCCTATGCTGCGTAACGTAAATAAACAACATACTTTTTTCAAGAACCCAACATTCTTGGATCTCGGGAACTACACTACAAAAATATGGAGAATGTGGAATTGATGAGACTATGTAACGGGAAGTCAAGGTCGACATATGGAGCATAATGTAGTACGTCCCCAACAACAACAACAACAAAAGAAACAACACCAGTAATGTTAACGTCACAAACAAAAGTTACCTTTCTTTTGGAGCATCCTGTACTTATAGATATCGTGTACTTATTGTATGGTCCAATGTCTGCAAGAGACTGGGCCAAGCCTACGTTCATTTCCAACCTAATGTTTCCACAGACAATCCAGACAACGTAACTGGAGATTCCTCACTACGTCTTAATGCAGCAGGGCCAGCGACCCAGGTAACGGGAGGAGCGAGCGTGTTTAGTGTAGTAGCAGTCGTAAAAATGTTGCTCATATGAGACCAGTTACGACAGACATTGCTCAGATTCTGTCAGATGGTCCTCTTGTCGCTCTTTCAATTTTTAATATAACTTTACTAGCGGAAAGACCCGTCTAAACTCAACGTTTTGTAGAATCTATTATAATTTTCTTCTTCTCTTTCATACCTTTATCTGCTTTAGAAGCTATTCTAAAAGCTGACTAATGGCAGCAGCACTTTCAAATTAACATCGACCATACTACACAGCGCAACAACCCAGAAGTCAGAAATCTTCATACTCACCGCTGTGAAAACCTCAAATCTTACAAATCAGTCATTCAATAAAATCTTCTCGGGCAATCAGCCGCGTTAGCTGGTTACCGTAGTAAACCGACGTTTCGGGAACAAACTCTGTCCCCATCTTCAGGGTTCTGATGTGACTGAATCCTCGGAAGTCCGTGGCTGATTGCCCGAGAAGATTTTATTGATTGTACTCGCCGCGAAAGTCTCAAATCCTAAATCAGTCAATGTTCGTACACAGCTAAAACATATTTTACCTACGGCATTTCAAAGAGGAAGCGATCTCTGCAAGCAGTGGTTACGTCACTAGCTACATCGAATTAAATAGCATGTTTTAACATCAATAACGCCTGCATTTCCTAAAGTCCCTGCAGACTTTCAAGCCGCTTAGTGCAGTTTCATTTAACCTTGCATTCTTGCAATGAGCTGCATACGACATACCTGTTCCTAAAGTTGTCTTGGTCGTCTCGGCTGGCGGACAGAGAAACAGACCCATCTGCATCCTGAGAGCATTCCATTGTTCCCACGGGCGTGTGCATTATCCTGAACAAAAACATCGTATTCAATCACCAGAAACAAATCGCACAGCACAGATTATCACGCATTTTCACAGGGTAGCCGCATTCAGGCAGGAGACTTAACTTCTACAAGCTTCAAATGCCTCATAATAAAATGACAACTAAATAAACTTCAAATGAACACTGACGAAGAAGGAACAAAAAACTAATTCAACGACAACAGCTGTGCCTTTTGAATTAAAAATTTTCACTTCTAGCTCCTGGGAACAGAGTCTTTCCTCAGAAACTGCTAGTCACATGAACCAATCCATACCCCCCGCCCTATTTCCCTACGGAAAACATCACAGAAAAACTATTTCTGCGAATTAGGTAACAATAGGCTGGTATGAAAAAGTGGGGTTAATGATATAATGCAAATGCCGTTAACCTTCGGCCGTAAACCGCAGAATCAATAAGACAAAGACAGCCTAATGTTGGAACCTCATGATGTAAATTTATCAAGGGGTAAATAATGTAATACCAGATTCCTTGATGAACGGATATAATGAAGCCTGAGATGACTCTTAAAACGATCAAATTTCTGATTAATACTGGCCTCGACATTTAGGCTTATACGTTGGTTATTTATCAACGCTGCACTCAGAAACGGCGAGGTTTGATATTAATTAACACGACCTAATTATATTTAGACACGGATTCTAAAATCACGTTTTGTAACATTTTGAAACCTTATTTATTAACCTCGAGATTAAAACTGTAGAAAGTATTAGCTCTTACGTTCTACCTTTGTGGCGGCGAAATGACGTCGGGACACGTGACGAAAACAGATTACAAGCTAGAGATTCAATTTTTTTTACGACGAACGGTACAAAATAAAGAAATTTCGGGAGACCTCTAAACTGAATCGTTAGAAGAAAAACTCAATTCATATTGAAAATAATTTGATTCAACAAGTCTGTGGAATAAAACACTACAGACTTCCAGCATAGCAACTGAGGTCCTCATGGCGGCGAAAATCATGGTGACTCCTTATGAGTTTCTGACGGATTGCCTACCTGGAGACGCAGTCGATGCAGACCGAGTGTCCGTGGTCTGTGTCCGGCTCGAACAAATAAAATTCACAATCAGATCGACCATTTTGGCATATGACTGTTTTAAAAAAATTGTAAAATTGGATTTGAACTTCGTGGAGTGTTCAGCGGTTTCGGAGATAATTAGACTTACGGGCAGAAATACAGCTGCAGTCTTGTCGCTATGCTCCCTCCAATGTATCATAGTGCCCAGGTTAAGGAGGTACCTCGTGTCACGGCGAGCGGTGAGGCGAGGGAGGGAGGGAGCTGGAGAGAAAGTTTGACGGGGCACACTTCACGAGGACCATACCTCTCTTGAGAGGAAGGTGTCTAAACAACGGAAGAAAGTAACGTTGAGCCAGCTTGGTAAACGAACATTTGAACATACCTCCATTCATTTGTAGAAAGTATTTTACTATTTCAACCTTTCATTAAGATCTATATTAATTAATACACTGTTCATAAATATGCTGTAATAATTCTGCGAAAAATACGTGTTGGTATTCACGTCTTGTTAAAAAGGTTTAAAATTCTTTATTGTAGAGTCGGTTTCATTGATGTTAGAAAATCAGATACTTGCATTTGCACTGTACTACAATTTGAATGCCTTATTTTACATTTTGCTGTGGATATGCCACACAAGAAACACAGTTAGGTGTCTACTATCAACAACCAGGAAGACAGGACGAAGCCTTCATAAACTAAGGATAACAGGAGAGCTTCGCTGTTCTCATCGACAAGTTACCAGGGTCAGATGCGGAAAACCGAAAGACGTCTGTAGTACAAAATGTGTATACCTGAATGCACATGTGAGCGGGAAAAACGACGTACGTAATTTTAAAGTGGAAATGCAATGCAAATTAAACAATCCCTTGATTATTTAACGCTGCGGTATGAAATGAATAGGATTCAGAATGTAGACAGTGGCAATACTAGTAATTAAATACATGCCCCTTTCAATTATTTACATTATTCAGACTCCACATTCTACATCTTAACAATACGACCTTGAGCATGATCACCAGTTGTGTTAATTACGTTAGAATGGTTAGTGTTATAAAAATCCAAGTAATACAAAATCCAAGTTTAGACAAGTCTTGGGGGGGGGGGGGTAAATATGTGAGGAAAATTTGTATCAGACACTCATAAGTAATGCATTCCAACATAAAGTTCGTGCTATATTGTCATTGCTACATGTTTATATAATTTAAGGATATAAAAACTGAACTTCGTTGAACCAATGACCCGCTGTATGGAATCACGCACGCCTACAAAATCTAGCCCCTTTCACTTTCACCACACAGACCCTAGTCCTGGGCAATTTGTCATTTACTAGTGTATCTAAACGTCCATTATGAATGCAAAATACATATATAATGCATACATACGTGAATACATACGCACATGCATGCACACACGACCTCAGGTATCAGTATCACTGACTGGCCAGGCTTATGATGATGGGGTCAGCGCCTCGGAACCAAATTCGAATAGGTACATGAAATTCAGGGCAATCATGTGATTAATTTCATTGACTTAAATTCTAAGTAGTCTATCCCCATTCAAACAGAATATAGTATATAATTCTATTTAGAATAATTCTCTTCCATGACAACAATATATTCTCTTCATCTTTTTTTTAACAAACAGAAGAATATCGATTCATTGTTATGGCAACTTTCAGTCTTAAAATTTCCCACACCTAGCAAAAGCATTCCTCAGAACTCTTATGCAACATGATAGATTGAACTCAAATAACATCAAGAGAATTATACTGAGTGAAGAATGAATAACATTCTGTTAACAGACGACTCTATCAGACTGATGGACTACGACGAGGGAAGAATGAACAACACTGCGTAACTTACCTGTTTGTGAATGGGCAGTGTCAAGTGGCTCCACTTGAATTACGAACAATGTGTGGCAGACATCCGATTTCCGTATCCGAACAAGCGAACACACGCACTCAACAGTTCACAGCACACTTCGCTAAACATTGTCCTGGCGAACCCTTTGATACAGGGCCCAGAGCAAACCGAGTCGCATCTTGTCACGAAGTGCTTTACACCCCTCCAAGACGTCAACTCCCCCTCAACAGTAGGAATGCAACATGGCGGACAGGTACATGAGCGCGGGTGCGCGCTCTGTTGGCCGCGATCGATGTACACTAGAGATTACGTCACTGGAAGTGGGGTGAGAGATGGTGGGGGCAAACCTACGGAAGAACGTGGGAGTAGAATTTACAAGTTTGAAATTTTACTCACACAAAAGCACAGACTGCAAGACAATAATTAACACTTGTTACTGGTGCCGATGACAGACACACGGCCAGGTCAGTGGCTGTCAATCAACACACCAGCCACCATGTCTCCCATTCTACTGTCGACACGCAGTGGTGTTCAGCAACACGAATAATCTATACAGCAAGAACTTTCGTCCAAGACCACTAACATGTCCGTCGCCTTTATATGAGGTGGAACCTGTCTGTCTACTGATGTTCGACTGGAGACACAAGCTACGAGGGCGCCCCGAATGTAGATCGATAAAATCCAAACGACGAGGCGACGGCTGCCTGCCTGCCTCCCTGCCCAAGAAATGCATAACCCGTTGTCATAAGTTTGAATTCCTGTAATCACTGCATGAGAGCATGACCCTTGACGCAAACATGAACCGGTGTGTTCTTCTTTATTGCATAATATGCTGGATAACCAATGACTCGCGGTAGGTTCAGTCGGTAGTGACTGGTATTTTGTAGACCAGGACCGAAATCCCAGAACTGTTGGATTTTCTTTCCACCAACACGACTGAAAAGGGTATGGGGCCCGTTCGGACACTTTCCAATGGATAAAAGGGATTCTTTCCTGACAGTAAAGCAGCTGGAGCGTGAAGCTAATGCCTAGGTATTACAAACGTGGAATTTTATTTCTATGCTCTCATTATGACTTTATGGGAGGTTATTGGGCACAGGGAAACTTAACTTCGCTGTGTAAGATAATCACTTCATCGGCACTTAAAACCTATTCGTTTCATACATTTGTGGTCTCTCTCTTTCTCTCTTGTTTTCAAGGTTTAGATGTGTCATATTTACTTTTGATTTATAATTATGTTTTATCCTTTTTTTTATTGAACAGAATTTACCAAAAACCGAAGGAAAATTTAATTTTAATCTCGCAGTAGAATTTCCTCCACTACAGATGTGTTTGTTCATAAGACTCAGTCTCCAGGACCTCATTTGGAAAAACGTGATGCATCACGGGAGTTGAGACTGCACATTTGTCGCCAGAAAAATAACAAAGACCACGACTCGACAAAAGCCTGCGGAATTTATCAAACTTGATCATGTCACCGATTGGCTGGATGTAATACTCGTCTGACGGAAGAGCAGATTCGGTGACCACACATCATTACGGCCTACACGTGGGGCAGAAACACACACGATCTGACAAGGATTCGAAAAGGAAAATGCCAATATAAGAATCGTGCTGGTAATTATTATGTTGCTATTATGCTTTTCAGCCGAATTGGCGGCTGGAGCGTGCACCAGTCACATGTACTACGTCTTGGTAGGAAGTAAAGGAGGGAGGTGGAGGGAAGATGTAGCATTGGTTTCTTAACAGACTGAGGTCTAGCTGCTCATCAGACCTCCTTTGCGCTGATTGGTCACTCACAAACAGCGTAACTCGACTCAGCCGCCAATTCCGCTGAAAAAACAAAATAGTTTCCGAAAAATTACGAATTTACCACAAATTGTTAACAGACAAGAAATATAAAATGAACGTTGGGTGTGTAGTGACTGGTTAGCACTCCATATTCATATTCGGGGAGTCTTCGGTTCGATATTTCTCGTGAATTTACTCCGGTCCTCCAGGAAAATGCCGGAACAATTTATTAAAATAGGCCACGGCCTACTCCTACATATTTTCCAGATCGTCATCTATAAACATCCAGCAAATTTTCGTCTCGGCCCACAACTGGCAGACGGAGGAGGTTTCTTTCGGTGATCTTCTGAAACACCACGCAAATTTAGACCAGACCAGCCACTGTTTTAAACGAGACACATTGGACGTAACACGGGAAGGCTTGTAATGAATGGTTACTTTAATATGCTCCACTCATTCCTTAGCAAAACTACGCAACATAAAATTATACAATAAGAACTACTGCAAAACGGAGCCGCGAATAAAAGGTGTCACCGGTCCTTGAAGAAACGGGGTGTGAAAGCGAGAAAGAGTCAAGCAGTCAAGGCCATCTGAAACAAATGTTCCTATTTCTCTCAAACAGAATGGAAGTTACATGTACAATAAATGAAACATATCATAGACCTTTGTACTCCCTTGTACCCTCGCTGAAATTGCGAGAAAAACAAGTGAGTAGTTACGTTGAATAGTTGACAGTTCTTTATATGTCCAGGAAATTCCTGATTCTTATATAACCCGACGATGCAACACATTTGTTGTCACGAAATTCCATCACTGAACCACTCCAACCCAGTTTGTACCTTCACAAACTAAACTGCATCTTAATAAAATCATTCGATCTGTTTCCAAGTGTTCCAAGAGGTGTTTCCACTAGGTTTTCAAACTAAAATTTTGTGTGCACATCCTTTCTCCCCCCCAGTGATGTATGCCTACAAGTTCGGCTCACCTCCATTTCCTTGAGTCACAATCATCCTAGTCAAGCTCCCAACAATGAATCTTAGAAATGTACGTAACTGCTAAGGTCCAGTCCATTGTTTCTCAAACTTCAGAGATTTTGTTTTGTTTTACGACGAATAAACACTCTAGCTTCTTTCATCTTAACTAGCAATGAAACTGAACCGTTTCGATACTCTGTAGGATTTGGTGATTGTTGGTGCCGCTCACAACAAAGATCACAAGACAACACAGAAAAATGCACACTTTACCGTGAACGACACCAAGTACAAGTACGTAGTGTGCCCTATATTCTTATAGAAGACTTCATTCAGTAAGACAAAAATATAACATAGATGAAGTCCAACAAACTTGAGAGTTTAGAGAACGCTGTCCTTGGAACACTTGACGAGATAGGCATGGGATTGGGGGGGGGGGGGGGGGGCT